CCAACGTCAATCAGGAATTTCATTTCATTTATACAACGCAACAAGAGAATACACGAAAGCGACATTTTCTAGAGAGCGCGACGAAGGCGGTGCTGCGCCATGCGAACCGAAACGACACCATTCGCAGGACTCGGGTTCGCCACCGAGCTCTTGAGCCAGCACGTGTTGGCGTTGATCGAAAAGCCGACGCAACCGGTCGTGGTCGAGCACCCGTTGCAGCACTGCGCGACCTGCGCTGCCGTGTCGCCGTTGACGCCAAAGCTGCGGATGTCGTTGCCGTAGTAGTCGACGTCGGTGCTGACGCTGCTCCCGCACTGGCTGGACGAGCCCGCAGAGGCGCCGGGCGCAGAGGCCGAGACGACGCCAGCGCGGGGCGTCGGGCTGCCGAGCGTGTGCTTGAGCCAGCACACACCGCTGTTGATGGAGAAGCCGGCGCAGCCGTTGGTCGAGCTGCACGCCGCGCAACACTGGCTGAGCTGGTCTTGCGCACTGCCCCACACCCCAAGGTTCTTGATGTCGTTGCCGTAGTAGTCGAGGTCGCTCTTGGCGTTGGCGCACTGGCCGCCGCTGTTGGGCTGCGGCGCGGGCCCCGGGTTCTGGCCGTTGCCTTGCAGCGGAACGCAGTTTTCTACGCACAGTATCGCAGCGTGAGCCATGGAGCCATAAAGGTCGTGGGACGCACTGTAGACTTGCCACTCAGGCTGGTGTAGCGCAATCCAGTAAAAGCGCAGCATGCAGCCGTCGCCCGCGCAGCTCGAGTAGTCGACGGGGAGGTGCGCGGCCGGCTTGTCGCCAAAGTTGGTCGCGCAGTCGTCGTTCTGAAACACGCGCTTGTTGTCGAGCCACACCTCGCAGGGGCCCTACCAATGAGTGCAGCTTGAGTATACATAGAGTAGTGTCGTTGGGTACCGTGTGGCTCGGGATGAAGCCTTCGCCCGTGTCGGGGTTCTGCCACGTCATCTTGCCGTCCGATGGGATCGCCTTCTTGGCGACGTTGGTGAGCG